CAAGGATTAGAATCAGACAATTGGAAAGGATCAGTATAAAAATAAGTAGACACAATATGTCTATATTATTTAATGAAACGTGTGTGTGTGTGTGTGTGTGTGTGTGTGTGTGTGTGTGTCTAAGCACGCACAAGTAGTCAGCTATGGGTAGAAGCAAGACCACCATTGTCTCAATAGAAGCCTTTAAAGCTGAAGACTTGTTACCAGGAAATACTTCCTCATTGTACAAAGAGTGCTAGTTTCAGAGTCACTCCCTGGTGTCTGCGTTACATTTTCAGAAGATTGATAATAAATTATCTTCAGTAAATAAAATGTTACCTTCAGTAGCTGGGAGGTTGTGATGTACAGACTGCAGCTCCAACCATCATGAAAGATTAAAAGCATCCCGTGTCACATTTTGCCATTGTAGAGTGAGGGTAAATAAATTTTCTAAGTACGGGGACATTATCGTAAATTTTACTAACCTGTCTGTCTGGTTCCTACTCATGTGAGAACACCTATCTGATCAAAGTCCACTTACCTATAAGACAAAAAAGAAAGAGGAGATGCATTAAACAAACTTAAAGATGACAATATTTAAAGAAGAATAGAAGACCAAAAAATCACCTTTGACAAATTACAGCTGGGAATTAATATTTCCTTCATAAAATTAGACGGTAATGAAAAGAGAAAAAGGAAAAGAAAAAGAACAAAGAAAAGCATGAAAAGTAACAGTCATTGATTTATATTTTCCTCATTGATTAGGCTTAATAATACATTATGCAAGAGTAACACCACTGATTCGCTAAAAATTAGCATACCATGATGAAAAAAATGCCCCAAAACTTAATAAAACCAAAGTTTTATTGTAAAAATCTTTGTTATTATTAAGAGGAAAGACCAGAGGAATTTTTGATTTTTAAATTATATCTTTTCATACATGCTTCAGCCCGGTAGCCAAAGATTAGTATAGCAAATTTTAGTGACTCTTCTGGAGAAAATCACATTTATATGTAAATAACTTTGATTTTAATGAAACTTTTGACTTATACACAAATAAATGAAATTATTTTAGAAATGTGCATTTTTAGAAAATCTTTAAAAATTTTTTTTTTTTTTAAATCAGTTAACCCTTATTTAATTTTATGGAATATCGAGAAATTAAATTTTATGCTACTTAATGATTATATTAGTTAAAAGCAAAACTCCTTGGAGAATTAAAATCAATTTTTTTGTAAAATAGGAACACCAATTACCGAAAATCAGCTCTGAATTGTAAAAAAAATTAATAAAAAAAAAATTAATAAAAAAAAAATTAATAAAAAAAAATTAATAAAAAAAATTAATAAAAAAAAAATTAATAAAAAAAATTAATAAAAAAAATTAATAAAAAAAAAATTAATAAAAAAAAATTAATAAAAAAAAAATTAATAAAAAAAAAAATTAATAAAAAAAAAATTAATAAAAAAAAAATTAATAAAAAAAATTAATAAAAAAAAAATTAATAAAAAAAAATTAATAAAAAAAAATTAATAAAAAAAAAAAAAAAAAAAAAATAAAAAAAAAATTAATAAAAAAAATTAATAAAAAAAAATAAAAAAAAAAAATTTAAAAAAAAAAATTAATAAAAAAAATTTAATAAAAAAAAATAATAAAAAAAAAACGCAAGATATTATTTAATTAGAAAATCTTAATTGCTTTCATGAATAAGATATATTATGTACACTATTGTCTTAAGAACAAATATTGTTGAATTCTTTTCTTTTTATGTGCCATGTCTTTTCAGAATGTAGGTGATCATGGCTCTCCACCTCTTTCTATCCCTTGCAGTTTTCAACAAGTTCCTTCCCTCTGCTTCCTCCCCCAGACGACGTTCTGTCATCCACTTGCCAGGTATGTCACGCATTATTTTACGTTGTATCTCTTTCTCTCTATTTGATCCGTGAGTATCAGATTCTCCAGGCCCTCCTTCCTCATTTTGTGGCTCTTTCTGATGTTAAGTATAAGACTTCTCCTTGTTTTACGTTGTATCTCTTTCTCTCTATTTGATCCGTGAGTATCAGATTCTCCAGGCCCTCCTTCCTCATTTTGTGGCTCTTTCTGATGTTAAGTATAAGACTTCTCCTTGTTTGCAACCTCTCTAAGACCCCACCGTTGCACACAAGCTCGGTCCATGATATCCTTAGTATCCTTCCGTAGAACCACATCTCTGTTGCCTCGAGTCTCTTCTTCATCTTTAAGGAAATTGTCCAACATTTGCTGCTGTAAAGAACAGATGTCCTCTAACAGCTCAGTATTCTTTTCTTTAATGAATTTTTACAAGAATTCTTTTTTATATTTTTTAAATTGTAATTAGAATAGTTTTAAATCTGTTAAATTTCCGCATTAATTTGTGAAGGTTAGAGAATATTGTTATTACATAAAGAAATATATATTTACTAATCATAAATGGAAAATCATAGCGCAATTCATCGAACTTCAATATTTTAAGATTTTTTTATTTCTTTTTGTGTATATAAACTGGCCAATTTTTGAAAATATGGGCGTCCATACACAATATTACAAGAATGTAAGAGAGGTAACTATAGTAAATTTAAAGCCAAAGTACCTAAAATTCAATAAAACATTAGATTACGGAGAATATTTTCCTAAATTTTTAAGATGACTGGTAATTAAAAATTATATGAAAGGGCGCTCACGTTATATTCCTCAAGTAAATTTTACAGCTATATCCACCGTAGAAAACATATTTAAACTTCCGTCTGCCATTCAACCTGTCAACATTTAAATAATCAATCACCGCCGTGTTAAAATATATTTCTGCGATATTTCAAACAAAGAAAGTAATATTTGTTTCAAATCAGATTAATTAAACTTTAAATGAAGTAATATTCCTCAATTAAAGTTTCAGAAAAGTATAATTATTGGAAGATTTTTTAATAAAGAAAATTACACTGCGGTGACAGATGTCTAAAAAGTGGGCTAAAATCATCGAATGTTACTGATTTCAAAACGGAAACTACTTCCAGACAATTTAAATTAGTTTTGAAATACAAAGTATTTCGCTTATTGGAAATATTAAATTTAATTTACTAGCTTAAAAATTTAAACTAAAATAAAAGCTTACGTGCAGGGAGTCGTGATTATTTGTCCTACACACAAACAAACATTATCCCATACGGAAACCACCATATAGCCTGACGTACTGGTAACCATTCATAAGCAGCAATTTGGACTTCGAAATTTCTCGAACCTTCAGGCTGGTAAATGCAATTAATACTATTTTAATTAATTTACTCATATATATTTTATATATATATATATATATATATATATATATATATATATATATATATAGTAGGCCAGGAACTACCTAGGTAGGTAGTTCCTGGCTCTCTAGGATTTTTAAGACTTTTTTTCTTATTTATTCAATTGTGTTTTTTTTTTTATTTGGACTAGAATTTACGGCATTAGATGTTTTTAGTTCTTTTTTATTGTCGCCAAATTTTTTTCCTGAAATACCTATTTGTTTGACTATATTTTTATTTGCAAATTGTGTTATCCGGTGTTATCTTTGCACTAATCGATAGTTATTAACATACATACATACATATATATATATATATATATATATATATATATATATATAACGTATTTGATATAGTTTTTCTTTATACGTAGATACATAAATATTTTTGTAAGTATTTTGTTTATTACCCAGTATTAAAAGAAAACTGACAATTATTTAGGACTAACAAGATATCCCATATAGCCATCGGGTCGTATGAAATGTCCCGGTTAACCGTGTTTGGCCTAGGGGTTGTTGTCAGCTTTCTAGACCATTAAACCAACTTTCTACACGGAATGATTCTAAATCTGGAAACTAAGGATTACTCAAGACGAGTAGAGTTAAGTGCATACCCTGATGTCTGCTTCCAAATCCAAAGACCCACCTTAAAAATCAAAATCAGGGCCCCGCGCAAGTATTAGGAGTGAATACAAATTCTCCTCACAAAAGCATATAATTTGTATCACAATTCGCAATTGTCGGCTCGGAATATTACCAATTAATGTGATGGCTTTTGTTTTGGAAGGGAACCAGCTGTGCTAAAAACAATATATTAGGTAAGCTCACTCGAAATCGAATTAAATAGTTTTGTTTACAAATTGTGTAAAAGGTTAATGGTGATAACATTTAGTTAACGAAATTTGCACAACAGAAAAGACAAAACTGAAGCTAGATGCTGATACTAGTTTGAATAAATCACCAAAGGTTTTAGTCGCCTTTTCAAAACTTTTCATTATTAATAAGATTAACTAGACGGATTTTATAATAAGAATGAAATGGATCGATTTGTGAATGTCGGGAAATGAAGAGACAAACCAGTAAACAATATAATCAAGACAGACGACAGGCATGCGACAAAAATGTAGAGATGATGGCGAGGCAAGAAAACAAAAATTAAAAGGGAAAATACGCGAGAGAAGAGAGACATAAAGAGAGACACAAAGAAAGAAAGAGAGGGTGTGGGAGAGGAGAGACGCAAAGGAAGAACGAGGACAGAGAGAGACACAGTCCCACCAAGTGACAGAACACCACTGGCTTGTTTTTCCTTCTGAAAATATAAGACACTAGATTTTCGCACCTTCATACTGCTTGTTGTATTCTAATATGTCATAATTTATTCCTGTGAGATAGCGATGGATATTTGTATCTAATATCAGTATAACAGCGCCATATAAAATATTTTTGAGTACAAGGCATGCTTGCATTCAAAAAGATGGGAAAACAACAAAAAAGAAAAGAGGATTGTAAAAAAAACAAAAAACAAACAAACAAGGAAAAGAAATGCGTGAAAAAAAACAAGGAAAAGAAAAGTGTTAAAAAAAACAAGGAAAAAAAAGTGTTAAAAAAACAAGTGTTAAAAAAAAAAAAAGAAAAAATCAAAAAGTGTTAAAAAAAGGAAGGAAAAAAAAAAAGTTAAAAAACAAGTGTTAAAAAAAACAAGGAAAAAAAAGTGTTAAAAAAACAACAAAAAAGTAAAAAAAACAAGGGAAGTGAATAAAAAAAAAAAAAAAGAAAAGAGAAGAATAAAAAAAAAAAAAAAAAGAAAGAAAAGAAAAGTGTAAAAAAAACAAGTGTAAAAAAAAACAAGTGTAAAAAAAAACAAGTGTAAAAAAAAAACAACAAAACAAGTAAAGAAAACAAGAAAAGAGAAGAATAAAAAAAAAACAAGAAAAGAGAAGAATAAAAAAAAAAAAAACAAAAAAAAAAAGAAAAGAGATGGGAAAAAAAACAGGGTATAGAAAGAAGAAAAGGACGGGCGAGAGTCAGAAAGAAGAAAAGGACGGGCGAGAGACAGAAAGAAGAAAAGGACGGGCGAGAGACAGAAAGAAGAAAAGGACGGGCGAGAGACAGAAAGAAGAAAAGGACGGGCGAGAGACAGAAAGAAGAAAAGGACGGGCGAGAGACAGAAAGAAGAAAAGGACGGGCGAGAGACAGAAAGAAGAAAAGGACGGGCAAGAGACAGAAAGAAAAAAAGGAAAGGACAGAAAGAAGAAAAGGACGGGCGAGAGACAGAAAGAAGAAAAGGACGGGCGAGAGACAGAAAGAAGAAAAGGACGGGCAAGAGTGAAAAGAAAACTCATTCAGAAGACAGTAAGAACAAAAACAGGAAAGGCATGAAAATATACGATATCATGAACAAAAATATACATAAGAAAAAACAGGAAAAACAGCAAATAGGCAAAATATGACATGGATAAAGGAAAATGGAAAACAAATGATTAATAAATGATACGTAATAACAAGATATGAAGTGATGCGTGAATTGTAGATTATGAATTCCAAGATTGTACTGTTAGGTCTGGGACAATCGTTACAGTCCCCACCCAACTTATTAATTTAAAAAATAAATTCACTCTACTCTCATTCTAATGACTAGCTTATTTATTTTTAGTAGAATAAACTAAATTCTAGACTCATCTAAGTTTCAACTCAGAAATTTTTCTAACCCTTTCCTATAATTCCCACATCCATTTTCCCCAACCTCCTTTATACTTTTTCCAACCACACCTTGTTATTCAAAACCAGAGAATTTATGTGAAAGGCAGACTTTATATATATATATATATATATATATATATATATATATATATATATATATATATGAAGCTTAGAACGGCTCATGAGTAAGCATAATAGACATTTGTTGTCTGTTATATTTAACAATATATTTTTGAATAATGGTCTTCTGCCCTAATACACTATATATATATATATATATATATATATATATATATATATATATATTTTCTTGAATGTTCAGGCGGGTAGACCAAATAAAATTCTATTTAAAATAAACGAAGCGTCTAATAAAAATAACGTTTAAACTAAGAAAAATATGCTGGATTAAAAAAAAAAATCCATTTATTGCTGAGAATTTGTTTCGTTTACATTCTGAATACGAAACTGAACATTTGTGACTTTCGAAAAGATTTGAACGAGTAAAATGTGCTTTAAAAGAAAATAAAACCTTGATAGATTGCAAAGATCTTTGTGGCCGAGTGGTCAAAACACACGGATAAAACGACGGTTTCTCCTGCAAATGGAAGACGCAAGTTCGGATCCTGCTGGAGGGTACATTTTCTTTAATATGTTTTCTCGAATGCTCAGGCCGGCAGACAAAAAAAAAATGTTAAAAATAAACGGAGCCTCTACACAAATATGGGTATCCACTAAAAATAATGTTTGAAGTTAGATATAAATTAAAATTGTATGGAATGAAAAAATTGGATTGATTTGATTTTTTTTATGGCTTATCAACCTTTTGCAATCTTGCAACATAAAAAATTCTTTGAGAATAGTGATTTACTGATACAAGTCCTACTAATTAACCCATAGCTGGAGGTGCGGAGAAGATGTGGATCCACATCTTTCACAGGGGTATTTTCGCGTAAGTGATTTCCAATTACGAGTCGTTATCCATTACATCACCTGCCTATCCAAGATTACGGCATCTCGTATTCCCAAGCACTCACCCATCTAGGCACTGACCACGCTCGACGTTGCTTAACTTTGGTGGTCGTACGAGAACCGGTGTTTCAACGTGAAGTGGTCGTAAGACATACCACTAGCACTTTCAAGGTTACAGCACTTAGTATTTCCAAGTGGTTACCCATTTAGGTACTGACCAGGCTCGACTTTGTTTAACTTCGTTGATCGTACGAGAACCTGTGTTTCAACGTGATGCGGCCGTAAGCTGAGAAAAAGTGACAGAAAACAACGAAGAAACAAAGCAATTTGCGGAAGTTAGGTAAAATAACACAGTAGGGTGTGAGGTATGTCGCGACGGTATTTAATGTATCTGTGTTTGAAAGCGAATCTGTCCAGCCGTTTCATATTCAGGACATGAAGTAGGTAAGTCAGTCTGGCTTCTTCTTACGACGGGAGGTGAACAGACAAAAAGAACAAGATTATTCATAGTGAACAGAGCCTCTTTCGAAGTTCATCCCCACCCCACCAACCACTGAACTGAATCTGATTTGAAGGTAAAATAAGATAAGGGTCAGTGAACTGTAGCCGAAAAGATTACAGACAGAATACAAAACAGTAGACGAAAATAAGCTTACTATGTGACGAGGATTCGCCCAAAAGAAGCAGCCGTACGGTATTGTAATGTTAATAAGAAAATTAAATCATCTTATCGACCGTTTTTAGTAGAATAAAGTGGACAAATGGCAGCGAAAGATTCCTTCGCGATGAGAATGAAGATTATTATTATTTAAACTATTTCCATCGTTCGGACGGTTGTCTTCATATTTATTGCCATATCCACAACATTACGTCCCCTTTCTTGGATTACTCAACAGGGACACATGGCTCAGTGGATAAAAGCGTTGGATGAAGCAATCCAAAATGTAACTTGCCACAAAAGTCACAGCAGAGGGCACACAAACTTGGAGAATTGAGTTATCAAGGGGAATAACTGATACTGAGATATCTAAAAAAAAAAAAAAAAAAAAAGGGCATGACACGTGGGACTAGAACAATTTACTAAATAAAAGGTTCGGTTCGAAATTCCAACGTATATCACCTGAAGAAGACCGGAGCGTACATCGGCCGAAATATCGTGATTATGGCAATAAAGATGAGGACAACTGTTCGAGTATACCTTCACCTCCTGTTGCTTGCTTTCTTTTCTTGTCTTAACCATTTTAAGGTTGATCACGATCACTGGTAAATCTACTTCTTGTCGATTTCTCTCCCTGTGTCGTCCCAGAAACTACAACCTACCATTCGAAGAATAATGTCAGTAGAATATTCACCATCATGGTCAGTAAGAATAGAATAATATCGCATCGACCTACGGTTTCATAAGGTTTGCTGTGCATCCTTCGTTCGGGTTTTGGGTTAAAATTTGGGAAGGTTACAAGAAGCGTTTTTAGTCGGATTTCTTCTATGTGCTGACAGGCGTGAAAATCACGGCCCTCCACAACCTCCTATCCTTCGTAGCCCTTATTAGCTTTTCTCTCTTTGCCAAGTCTCCCACTTCCCGTTCAACCATCCATTCACATTTAATTGGCAGCTTTTTCCTATCTCTCTTGCTCTAGGTATGACTTGTGAAAGTTTCCCAAGCCCTCCTCCACTTCCCTCATTATGTGTCCAAGAAATGTCAGCTGGTAAGTACTAGTATCCATTTTGTTATTATTTTCTTTAAAACTTCTTCGTTGATTATCTCAGCCAGAGAATTCTCAGTATCCTTCGGTAGAACCACATTTCTGCTACCTCCAGTTTTTTTTTTTCATCCGTGGCGAGATTGTCCAGCATTCACTGCCATACAAGAGGACTGATATTAGGTGGCAATTCAGAATTATTTTGTTCCTAACGATAATTTCCTGTTTCTTAGTACTTTGTTTCGCTTTTGGGATGCAGTTTATCGCTAATTCGATATGCGTTCGGATTTCAGTGTCGCATTTTCCAGATGTGCTATTTAAATACCAAGTTTACTGGGACATATATTTATATACGAGTCGTCAATGGAAATCAGTTTTCACGGGACAAATGTAGAAAAAAGAAAGACTTGTAGCGGGCCATGGGTTTCTTACGCGCTGTGATATGAACACATGTGGTCTCCTGAAATAAAGTCCACTACAAACATGGACTCAAGATGAGTCCACCCAAACGAAATGTAAACGAAAACAACCAAGAACCGATATATATCATATTATGATATATATGTACAAACAGGTATATGTATTAAACAACAAAAAAAGACAAAAACATTAGCGCGTGCGCGTGCGTGCGTGTGTGTGTGCATGAATATAAAGAGTTCGTGTTTCAAAGTATGTTCCTACGTACGCGCGTGTGTGTGTGTATATACATAATGTTTATGGCGTCGTGCAACAAGTGGGATACGCGTATCTCCACGAGAGATAACATTTTTCAAGTGTGGTGTCCGCTAAAAAGTGGAAAAAGTGAAAGAGAACGAAGTATTCTCAAGTATTTATAGTTTAGGAGGGATAGCGTCCCCTAGGAACGATTTGGACAATTAGAACATCAAGGAGGAGTTAACTCCTGAATGATGAAAAATTATTTAAATTGGAAAGTTCGTCAAAATTAACGGTTACCAGAGATTTGTAAAAAAAAAAAAAAAAAAAAGAAAAAAAAATGGCGTTGTTTCTGATGGCAGCGGACTTACAATCGAACGAACATCGCAAGTAGTCAAAAGAATCCAGGGAAAGTGGGCGAGAACATTGTCAGCAAATAATGTCAGCGCCACTTTAATAACTTCAGTAACAGTTTAAAAGCCAACCTCGCAACAAGACAACCTACCTGGTTGAAAGGATACGGTTTCGTATATCTACATAACCCAACTTCGAATTTATTTTTCTGTCTCTTTACCACACGTTCCTAATTTTCCTCTTGTGTTTTCTTTCAAGTATATTTTGTTGTCGTTGCTGTTTAAAAACATCAAAAGAACTTTCTGAAAGAAATTTTAGCGCACAAAGGAATGGTTCTGCAACTCTTTCAAAAACACTTGTACATTATTTTATTTAGTTTGTGCTCTGCTTTGATTTTTTTTCATTACTCTAATCATTTTTCTTGGTCTTAAATCTACATTTGGGCTTCAGTGTCTGTCACTTTAACCAGAGAGCCATTTGCAGGTCCAGTAAAAATAAACAAACAAAAAAAAAAACTTAAAAAGCTGTGCTATAAAATAAAAAAGTGCTACTATAGTATATCTACCAAAGCATCTGCGACCTACCATAAATGACGATGCACTTATTATTGATGGAGTATGCTCAGGAAAACGATGAACTGTTTACTTTTTTTTTTTTTTAAATTACATCAAATCAGTTTACAAACATTAAAATCACTATTTGATGATTTATTTCTTTTTTTTTTTGTATAAAAAATTGTTAATGATTTTTAATACATAACCAGTTCACAGCCTTTAACCCTAACACATTTCATACTTCCAACAGTTGGTAAATATCATACCATAATAGAAAAAGATTAGTAGATATTATTATTATACTAAGTAGAAAATTGACGGTAGTAGCACCAAAAGTTGTTCTATAAAATAAACCTAAGTAATACTTCAAATTCCATTCGTGTTCGCTACATTCACACGCGTAAATATCCTTGGGAAGGATATGAATCCATTCTTCTCCCCCCATTTATGGGTTAAATAGCAGCAGTCAAGAATCAAGAGAGACATGAACGCCCAAGCGTCTATCACATATGGTGCATCACTGTCGGACTTAGCTCCTCCTTAATTTCCTAATTGTCACTAGGGCACGCTCCCCAACACTATAAATACTGGGCAATTTCTTGCCTCGTTCTCTTTTTCACTTTGCATTTCAGCGGACACATTTAAAAAGGTGATCTCTCGCAGAGATCTGCGTTTTTCCCACTTGTGGGAAAACGCCATTAAACACACATACACGTACGTACGAACGAACATTCACCAATATACAAACTTTTTACGTTCACACACACAAACGCAAATGTTTGTCTTTGTCACTTGTAAATTTGTTGTTTAATACATTTGTTGACACACACACATTTATATATATATATATATATATATATATATATATATATATATATATATATGTTTGTTTTTTTTTTATATCTTCGGTTGGACTCAACTTGAGTCCGCCATGATCTTGTAATTGAACCTTCTTCTAGCAGGAATAAACGCACATGTTTCCTACTTCAACAACACGTAAACCCACGGTCCTCTGCATAACTGCCCGAATGAATACTTTCAAGAAGTAAATCCTGACGATAAAAATCAATGTTCCAACCGATGTCACGAAAAAAAAAACAAAAAAAAAACTGCCAGTCCTCTGACCCTCCTGTTGAGCAACACGTTTTTATTTTTTTAAATATTCATATTAGTTTTAAATTTAAACCTTGAAGAGGACCGTCCTTGTAGACTCGTGCTACAGAATCACAAAGATCTTAACTAGATCATAGAAATCACATCATTTGAAAATGTGAAAATATTGACATAAGAGGTTGACTGTCCACACTATTTCAAACAAATTCATAGCCTTTTATTTGAAGTCGTGTCTCTATTAGTACTAGGAAGAGCAATAAAAGTGAAGCCGAGAAAACTGTTTCAAGGGAGACATTTTAAAACTTCAACGAAAGTAGCAGGTAGGGCCGGTGTGGACTTCCCCGGAAGGCTTAAGCACTTAAGTAGTGCTGTGTAATCCTTACTTCTACTAGGTAGAAAGAAAAGAAACTAATGTTGACTATTAAAGGATGAAAAAATTTCGCGGAATTTTGACGTCATTCGGTGTGTAAGAGAAATACACTTTACCTTAAAAAGAAGACTGAGGACATGCGCATTTGTTATAGTTTACGACAGTCTGAGGCATTTTTGTTTCGTTCAAATCCGTGAATTTGTTTTGCTCATGCTAATTCTCAAAAAAAAAAAAAAAAAAAACCCAGAAAAAAAAAAAAAAAAAAAAAAAAAAAAAAAAAAAAACAAAAAAAAAAAAACAAACAAAAAAACAAAACAAAAAAACAAAAAAAAAACCAAGACTATATAAAATTCACTATTTTTCTTATCAAGAATGTTGAATGTGTTAAAATTATTCAACAAGAAAAATGTCAAGCTGATTTTTAAAATTACCACAAAACATTATTGATTTAAGATTAAATGATCTATGATGGCATGTCTCTAATTTGTATTTAGATACATTGTATTTATTTTCAATGTTTCTCATTGAATTGCTCACCTATATTGCATATGATCCATTACTGTTCATAATTTGGTTACAATAAAATTTGTATTTTATATGAATTCTACCTTATGGAAATTGCTATATAGCAGAGTGGGGGTAGGGGCGTATCATAGATTGTGGAATGGAACGAGACCCCTGCACCGGCCCTGGTAGCAGGAGTAAAACGACCATAAAAAAATTTATCACAAATAAATAGCAGGAGTGTTGGAGCCCCAAACCCGAGAACAAACTGCATATCATCAACCTCAACACAAGAGAAGTGGAATCCAGGATACAAAAAGATAGGAAGAGAGGAGGTTGTGTTGGCCAGAGTCCGCATCAGTCATATTCAAATTATGTATAATCACCTACTGAAAAATGTAGAATCATCAATGGGTATTGCATGTCAAGAACAATACAGAGTTAAACACATCCGAGTGAATTGTAAAGATCTAAGACTAACCCGAAAACAATATTATCAATTAAGTAATTTAAAGAGTTCTTCAAGAAAGCCAATCTATCCAAAGTCATCCAATTCCTGAAAGAAGCCAGATTTTATGTGGAAATATAATCTCAAAATCATAAACACATTATTTTCCTCACACTTCTCGTAAAACTTTCTACGCAAACCGTGACAACTCCCAAAGTTTTCTTTTTTGTATAATGATGTTCACCCTGTACAAGGCCCAAAAGCCACTCGGGTAAAGGGTTACAGAGTAAGAAGCACAGTTCATTAGGATACGTGAGGAAGATAATGGTTGATCAAAGACTTGAACAGTTTGTAATGATCGGAGAAGCATCCTCTTGAGAGTCGGTTCCACAAAGTAAGAGGTAAGCGGCACAATTTATGTGGACATATGGGGGTTGATAACAGTTAACCCTAGATTGAAGTGATCGGGGAAGCGTCATCTTGAGAGTCGGTTCCACAAAGCAGAGGTTCGTGGGAAGAAGCTGCTCGCGTAGAACAAGTGAGCCAATGAAATACGAAGGGAATGAGGGTGTTTCGCTATAATATGCGTGGCATGGCCGGTTTTAGCCGGGAAGGTTAAGACTGATGAACTAAGGGATGTAGTTAGTCTGAACAAACAATTAAGCTACCAAAATGGTGTATGACGTGATATTCACTTGTGGAGAGGTGGAACATGGGCTGATTTACCCTGACTTGGTCATCAAGGGGGTGGGGGTCTAATGTTAAAAGACTCCCTTTATTCAATGATTTCGGTTACACCACCTCATTAACGACAGGGCTTTATATTTGAAAAACCATGGAGATTCAAAATAAAGGTGAGGCAGAGACAACGTCGACGAAGAAGAATAAGAGAGCGACGAGGAAGGCCAAGAATACGAGAGAGCGACGAGGAAGGCCAAGAATACGAGAGAGCGACGAGGAAGGCCAAGAATATGAGAGAGCGACGAGGAAGGCCAAGAATGAAAGAGACGAGGAAAGCGAAGGATGTGAAGGATGAGAGAGTGAGGAGGCAAACTGAAGGCAGAGAAAAGATACATCAATAAGAAATAAATGTGGCTAAGTTGAACAAGACATAAAACACAATGTCTTTTATTCTGTTCAACAAATATTTACAGAAATAAACAGGCAACACACACTTTGCAAAATAACAAAATTTGATATTTATTATTTATAATAATATAATAATTTAACTAAATAAAAATAAAATGTTGGCGCAATTATATTCTGTCCCGAGTTCATATATTTACTGAGTGCTCGATCGAAAAAGAAGAAAATCTCTTTAACAAAAACCTTAATCTTACAAGCATTACTAAAAAAAAAAAATTATAGATTATCTGTCGGCCACAATCATACGACTGGCAATACTGAAAAACACTTACTACGCCTCGTCTAGCAAGTGTCTGAAAAACTTCTGAACTGTGTTTTTTTTTTTATCATTACACCTCAAGCAAGGGGATAAAAGCCCCTAAGACGCATGGGGTTACTGAGTGAAAGAAACAGAAGGTAATAAAAAGAACAGGATTCAAGGAGACAGAAGACGATTGACATTGCATTAAAATTTTTGAGGATCGTCGTTGACAGTGAAATGTCAGAAGAGAGTTCTACAAGCAAGAAGTGTGGGAGGAGAAATTATTAGTATTGTGGATTACCTCACCTAGCTTCGCCAAACGCTCGTGGGTGGCGCTATGTAAGTAAAAATCTTATTTTTACCCGAACTATGAGTCCGCCAATTTGCAGGACAAATCTACCAGTTACCATTAAATATTTACTGAAAAACGTCCACACCTCGTAACAAAAGTGGTGTTTCTCGCACCAGTATAGATCTTACCTATACAGAAAATTGTAGAGAGCCATGAAGAGAAACGGCACATAGAAGAAAGACATCATTAATATGGATGAGATTAAGGAGAATCTGACGATGTAGCTGACGACGACACCGAAAGAAGATACTGCACACTATTCTGTGAAGTGGAGCGGACGCTAAGCGTCATATATGTCCTGTTATATGGTAGTAGATGAGTGGACAATATCCTCAACAATGTACTCGAATGTTGAAATTTCTAGGGCATATAATGAGGAAAGAGGGTTTGGAGAATTTAACACTGACAGGACATGTTGACAGTGAGTGACACAAAAGAAAGCAACGAATAGCCTACCTAAAAAGACTGTCAGTCGTTGTGAAAAAAATTCAACAATAACAAAAAGCGAGAATATTTTCGGTTATATAAAAATGAAACCCAGACCTAACTTGGCACTAATCGAGTCAAATTCTTTTCTATCCAATGAAGAGCATTTCTAAAAAGTTAAAACGAATATATCCGAACTTTGATCTCTCGGCGTCTTCACTTAATCTCCTTAACGAACATCTAGGCTCTAGGATAGTTTGCGCCGAGAAATGTTGTAATGTTGGGATGACACGGACCTGAAATGTCTGCGAATATGAATTTTATGTTCTGACAGAGATTTACATATGTACCCTGACATATGGAAATGGTGAAATTACCTGCTGAATTCTTGTTAAGGGCAACTGTTGCAAGTTCTTGACTTAATTTCGCGAACGAACATCTAGAACAGGGACTGTCCACATCTACTGCAGGATTGCTACTGCGTAAGTCGTCGCAGAATGTTGGTTTTTATATTCAAAACGAATGAACGCTGAACAAATGTTGTTTCGGAAGGCTTATTTTTTACGAATACAGATGGTATCCTTCTTGTGCGACAGAGTTCGTAGTTTGCGGTACATTGTGACACACACACACACACACACACACACACACACACAGATCCCACCTTTGTAGCAGGCAGGCGTCCCGATTTGTTTTTTTGTGGTTAGAGGAGTGTACCAGCCTGTGCCACTTTCTAGCGAAACCTTCCTGTTTATACGAGTTCGGTAAGTGTCCGGAGCTGAGTGCGTGTAGGATTGTTCCTGGTTTGGTACAAAGTCTTTGATCTTTTGTTTTTCTTATCTAATTATTTGGTTTCAGAAACGAAGTCAGTTGATTGACCTGTGCTTAAGAATGCTGTGTTAAAATTAATGCAGTTTCAAGGTGATCACAAGTAGGTGATACTTTTCAGGATATTTAATAAATATTTTTGTTTTATTCAATTTATTAAACTTAGCCTTCTACAACTCAATCAGCAGCGAAATCCATTCTATAAATAAACTTATCGAGGTGTCTTCATACTTCGCTACAGTTGAAAGATAATTTAACGCAGACATCAAAGGTACCGTTAGACACAACACAACTTAAAACTTATGATTTATAAAAATATATGTTTGGGCACCTCGACGTGGTGTAATGGTTAGAAAACTTGTCTTGCTAGATCAATTACGACTGAGTAGTGAGTTCGATCCTCACTGGGTGCCCCATACTTTCGGCTTTGTGCCACATCTAAGCCGGGTTTAGAAAATCACTATAAAATATAGGTTATCTCCCTTTGGCAGGTAACTCCTGCTGATAATAAGAGTCTATTATAAACTGATGAAAATGGGTATGATCCAAAATTAGGCGCTAAATAGGATTCGAGCGCCAACTAAAGGCGCCAAGAAGACCTCGAAAGGATGAGACGTGTCTTCAGCCTACTCCAAGAACAGACGATGCGAGCCACGCACTAACCTGAATGATGCATGGACAATGCGGCTATCGGAATAAGAATGAACAGCATCCAGATAAATGTTTAATCAATTTCATGCAGCCATATTTGGAAATTGTTCCCAATGTCTTGACTTTTAACTGTTCGAAGAATACGTTTTTAACAATCAGCTATTCTCTTTCGCGTTATGTAATGCGTTTCTTGTTTAAAGTATTTTTTTTTTTTTATAATCTTCAATTGTCTCACTTTGTTCATCAAGCCACAGCTCAATTTTTTTTTTGAGGGGGGGTCTTTAAATTTCTCACAGATTTTCTAGACAGACCTTCCTCACTGGTGGAGCCTAAGTTTCCTTGTGTATATTCCGCTCGAAATATCAAAGATCCATAAACCGATTTGGACTTTGCTGAATTAGAAAGACTATTTTACAACCGTTAGCTATCAATCATTCACTCGATCAACAGATTAAATCCACTAAACTTATAAAGGTATCCTACGTCGCTACATTGGAAGATTAATTCAACAGCGACATCAAAAACATCGCTAGACGCTTCACAACAACAGAAACAAATCTTGACTTAAATAATACACAAATGCACATGCTATTTATAAATTCTAAAGAAACTAGTGATTTTTTTTACAACGTTATTCCCGAATGTTTATCTTGTGACGTTGTAATTTAATAAAAACAATTTAAATATCAAGAAAGTGATTTAATAGAGAAAGTGTGACACAAATCCGAAGGCCCATTGTAGTCGCCTTCCATAAGCTTGTAGAATCAGATTCCTACATTTTTTTAAATCTTAAATTTTGTGCAAGTAAAACACATAGAGGCTCCCAACCAAATATAACAATTGATGCATTTTGATTGGTCGTAAAATATTGATTAGGTGTCGTCAACTATGTCCGAAGGTACCGACCCAAATTTTGACCTCTAGTTGACGCCATAAAATGGAAACATGTTTACGAGCCTCCCCACGTGACCAAGAGAACTAATAAAAACGAAACTTCGACGCGACTTGGTCAGTGGGCACTTAAAATATTGAACCAATTCACTTGACTTCATTGGAAATCAACACAGTAAAGGAGACGAACTTTATCTTCAATACAACAACAAACCTTGTCAACCATTTCCAGGCTTAACGCTCACTCCCACAAAATATTCTATTCCACAAGAATAATCTCTGGTTAATGAGTGATAACTCTATAACAATCAGTGAGTCAAGACAATACCTTTTTCTATTTGATACACAACAAATATCTGTTTAATTTTCCTATAAAAACAAATATAGCTAACTTCACCTCATTTTCACACGTACAGTACAGTAACTCAAATTCTTTCAGTAACACACACCAAAGAATTCTATTGTTTATCAACTTTTGCACTATATATTATGTATTTGTTGTGTTTATAAAAAAATATTTATTGTTGAACAAATTCACAATTTCTTCTACTTGATTATTTCTCTTGTTGTTGTCTTTGTTACATTTGATATTGTAAAAATTGTAGAGGGTCAGTTTTTATTTTTATTTATAACCAATACAAATTGGCTGTCCTACTATAAGCTAAGTAAAGTATTAAGAAACAGAAAAAAATCGTCAGAAACGAAGAAAAGATTACTGAACTGCGAGAAATATGAAGTAACAGAAATGTTGTTCTCGAGAAGGAGCTGAGAATACCATTAGCTAAACATGTAAGCAACGTGAATGTTTTGGAGAAAATGGGAAAAGGAAAGTTATACTTAACATCAGCAAGAGCTAGTTGAAATTTCAAGGATAGATGAACGGGGAAAAAGTAATTGGAATTACTCACAGAACAGATTGAAGGAAAACAATGGATAACCAAGCTAGAGTAAAATAGATGCCGGAACAAGGTTTAGGAGGAATAAGAAAAATAAAGTATATTACGAGCTACAAAGGACAGGAAATTGTGGACAGCCATTATCGCTAACACCATGAAAGAACACGGCAAGAAAAATAATTTAATACTTTTAGATCTCCCCTCCAAAAATTAGAAAAGTCCAATAAAATTGTCGGAGTTAACTCCTCCTTTAGTACATTAACCCTTTCACCAGGGGTCGCTCTTCGCTGCTATAAATAGCTGCGGACCGTTCGCCTCTATCTCTTTTTCCCTCAGGCCTGTGCGCCAACACCTTGAGGTAAATCTCTCCTTTTCTTCGGGATTTCAGCTATCAACCTCGAAATGTAGGCGCTAACAAGGTATAGCGTGGAAACACGCTAAGCCCAATACACACACACACACACACACACATACAGAATATTCACACACACTTCGTCCTTTGTACTCTTTCCATGTATTGTACTTGTTATTAATATATATTTGTATATACATATATTATCGGTCTTGTGTTTTGTTTTGTTTTTCTTTGCCTTCTTCTTTGGACTTAATAAAAGTCCAACCTTTTTATGTAGTTTGGCCCGGCGAGCAGGAAAAATCTGAACCTTACATGCGTTTCTTCTACGTCTGACTTCCATCAACAACATAACAGCCACGGCCCTCTACAAAATATTAAGCAAATAGACCTTGTCGGTTGAACAGAACGTTAGCTTATATATATATATATATATATATATATATATATATATATATATATATATATATATATATATATATATATATTCAAAAATTTCGTTTGAAGATGAAACAGAGCTTGATACTTTAATTTAATTTTATAATTAAATAGAAGTTTTAGCTCCTGTTTTTGAAAACATGAGTTGTAAAGATGGAATCATATTTTAAAAAAATAATTATAATTTAGGCTCTACTTATGTATTAAACACTGTTTTTTTGAAAATAAAAGTAAAAATACTAAAGAATTTCAGATTATTAACCTAACGTGTTCTTCCTGATTTTTTTTTCAAATATATTTGCACACACATTTTATATATATATATATATATATATATATATATATATACTTCCACTGATTCGCTAAAAAAAAATAGCATAGCTTGATGAAAAAATTCCTAAACTTAATAAAATTAAATTTTAATCGTTAAAATCTTTGTTATTAAGAAGAAAAGGATTTTTTTTATTAAATTATATATATATATATATATATATATATATATATATATATATATATATATATAAATTAAAAATAATAAGTAGAGCTTTTAACTTTAAAAATCGAGATGTCAGTTGATTCGGCTACCTTCGTCGTTTGAACCTTACGGTATCCTAATGGATGTTATATTGTTATTTTCAAAAAATAAATAAACAAACGCACGATGTTAGGTGTAATAGAAAGAGAGGAGG